TGTAAAACTAGCTGCCCTTGGTTGACTACTTTTTGTGTAGACTTGCCTTTTAATCCTTGAATTTATTAATTTCACTCTCCTATCATTTCTCTTTGATCTAATTAATTGAATCGGGTTAGAAAAGTTAACTCCATGTGAAGTTTTAAGTTGTCCCCTTTATCAGAATTAAATCAAACATTTCTCAATTTTTGGTTAGTTATTCCTTTTTTCACTTAATTAATTTCTTTAACTTCCATTTCTTTTTTCTTGTAACAAAATCCCCTAATCATAATTTAAAACTCATGCACTACACAATAGAATTTAGTTGTAAGACATTAGCATTAGCATTCATTTAGGTTGTTTTAGTGGCATAAATTGCATTTTCTTGTTTGCATTTTAGTGTAAAAATCTAGCATTTAGTTTTATATTTTTTTATTAGTAATTAAATACCCAGAATCAACTTAAGAAAACCTTTAAATTTCTCATTGGAAAGAATGACATAGAGTTGGTCTATACTATATTAAGTTAATCTTAGTTTAATTGAGTGCCGACACAACTAAAGCAATCATCATTGACCAAAGTAGGAAACTCAAAGTTAGGCTCACTGGAGATTTGAGGAAGTACTTGGGTATCCTACTTATTCACAAAAAGATTCTTTCTCCCTATTTTCACTAGTTTTACAGAAGGCCAGAGGAATATTATCAAATTGAAAGAGAAATTTTTTGAACATAATAGGGAGGTGGGGAGGTTGGTGTTGATTTAATATGCAATTATAGCCCTGCCAAGTTACTATATGCAAACCATGCTTCTCTTGACGAAGTTGCTTTATGAGATTGAAAAACTCTGTCATGATTTCTTGTTAGGATAAAAAGAAGATAAGCATAAAATCTATCTTATGTCTTGGAATGCAATTATTAAGGATGACAACAAAGTTCATACAGCATAGCTGAGAGCTAAAAGGAGTTTGCTTTAATTAGATATGTGCCCCTTTGGTGTAATACATCTAAAGATGCACTTTCTCTACTTAGAAACTGTATGCATGTTGATGATCATTAGATGTAACATTGGAATCGCTTCAAGTGCCTCAACAAGGAAGAGTGGATTGGGTGGAATCTTAAAAATGAAATTGGCAAAGATTTTACATGACAGGTACCTTGGTTTGTACTCCTTAGATGTGTATGTTGGGATGTTTGGTGTGATGGATGCAAGAAACTATTTGGGAATGAGGATGTAGATTTAACTAGGTCGGGTTTCACTACATTACAAAAAGTGAAATTTGATGTAAGTTTGATTGGTTCATCCAATACATCAAGGAAAAATTTCTAAGAAATGGAGACGCCTTATGAGAGGGGAAATCAAACTTGATGTGGATGGGTCCATTTAAGAGAGTTTTGCAAATATGGTGGTGTTATTAGAGATTACAAAGATGATTGGATTCTTGAATTCAATACTTGTATTGGAACATTTCTGGTGACGTTAACTGAATTAATTGGGATTGTATAAGAATTACAACTGTGTTGGAGTAGGGATTTTCACAGAGTTAATGTTTTCATTGATGGCGCTAAAGCCATCAACTTGATCTACCATGGTAATGCTGACCAACATCTATTTCAAGATATCATCAAGCTAGCTAGAGCATAGTTATTGAGAGAGTGGCATCTTCTTATTTAGGAAAGCTATTTTTTGTGCTTATTACTTAGCTAGGAATACTTCCTTTTGCTTTGATAACTAGTATATCATTGATCGCCCTCCTCCTTATCAGATTAAGGTGGTGGATGATGATAGAAATTCTTTTTTAGTTTCTACTCATTTAGTACTTTGTTGCTTTTGTTAACACTTGTTATTCAAAAAAATATTTTAACTAAATAAAAATGAGAAACTAAGTATAGAAATTTTTTCATATATATATATATATATATATATCCATAGAGGTCAACCAAAAAATACATATACATCACACAAATTTAAAATAAATGTAAAATAAAATAGACTCACAAAATGAAAATAAGTAAAGACATTTCAAGAAGAGAAAAATAATAAGAATTAAACAACAAATAGAAATTACCAATAAATATTGATTTAGTTGATAATGATTTTGCTCATCAAATATCTATTATCAATTTGAGGACATTACTGATAAGTAATCTATAAATAATTTTGCAAGTGTCTTTTAAGTTGGAGGCATGTTTTGACATTAATAAACATATGAAATTCAATTTATCTAAAGTTTTGAATAAAAAAGAGTTAAAGTATATTTTTACCCCTATACGTTCTTTTGAGGAGTGCTAGGTATCATATACTAATAAGTGAGATATTTTTCTCCTAAATCATTTTTTAGAGGAGCAAACATCTCCCTTCATTTAACATAAAAGTAAACATTGATAGCTACTTTAATTTAAACAATGACTACTTTTTTTTAGTAATAATTAACAAATTGGAACAAACAATTGCGAGTTTCCCTCTGCTATTTAAACTAAAGTAGTTATGAATATTACTTGAATTTCAGTAAATCAAAAATTTATACAAGATAATTTGTAATTAGTTGTTGCTTGAAGAAAAGTAGTTATTGTTTAAAATAAAATAATCATTAATATTTATTTTTTATTTTAAACTAAGAGTATTTTAGTTGTTTCACTAAAAACATTAATATCTAAAAGGTCCCTAAAAACCTAAGAAGAATAGTGATATTTTGTTAAATCACATTGTCATTTGTATATTTTAGAGAGTTAAAGTGCATTTTTTTATGTACTTTCCTTTGAGGAAGATTAGACACCCTATATTAATAATTGAGATTTTTTTTCTTCTAAATTATTTGATAGAGGGGGATTTTTATTCCTTTAAAAAAGAATTTAAGGAGAAATACTTTAATTATTAATATAATGTGCTCAATATTTTTAAAGAAAAATATAAAAACAAAAATGTATTTTAATATTAAAAAAATAGTATAAAAATTAAAGTCCAACCAATTTTACGACCCTTTACACGTTAAAGTAGATTCGGCATAGTTCATCTAAAAGTGTCACTCATTGTATTTTCCAAAAATAATTTCTCACTCACCCATGCATTATCAAACATTCCATCAACTGCCATCTTTAATCAATTCACTGCTAGAAAAGACACACCCTTTATTTTGCTTTCTCAGTCTAACGTTGATTGTGATCAATTATTAGGAGACCAACATCATGTTGTAGTTTACATTATATAAAATTCAATTAATCTTTTTTATTTTTTTTTTCCTGGTTTGTCTGTGACAGTAGGTTTTAACGTTTTGATTTCTGCCGTTAATCCAAGGCCGAATGAGTTTTACTCCGAATGCCTCATTCTTAGTCTCACATGTGCAGATAAGTTTGAAAAAAAAAAAAACACAAAAGTAATTTAAAAAAGAAACAAAAACCTGTTGATGAGAATGAAGGAGAGCGGCACAAGGAGACAAACCAAATCCAAGGCATACAAGTTTGTTTGGTTTGGGATAATTGCACCCTAAACCAAGCAAAAATTACATAATTATACCCTGAATTTTTATATTTTGCACCCTCTGGTTATTATTCCTGCATCTCTTAATATAGTAACATACTATTGCCAAATTCATATATATCTACTAGCTAAGAAAGTTGTTTTCGTCTATTTTTTTCTCTCTCTTTCAAATCTTTTTTTTTATATGATTCTCTTTTCAAATCTATCCCTAATTAAATATATTAATGTTAAATAATTGATTAGAGGGTATACTTGAAAAGATTTTAATACTTTCTAAAATTATTCTATAAAATGGTACTCCCTCCATTTCTATATATATATATAAAATATATTATACAGTTTAAGAAAGTTAGTTAACTATAGTAATTATATTTAAAAATAAAAAGTAAATTAAAATGTCCTGTGTTAATCAACATAAGCATATATTAATTATTTTTCGCTAATATAAAGTATGAGGGGTAATTTAAAAAATATATAATAAATGCTTATTGAAATATATGATTTTGTTTATACAAAAAAATAAGTAAAAAGTGATAGTTTTTTTATAAATAAAAACAAAGGGAGTATCATGGTTGTAAAAAACTAGATGCTTTTTTTGGTCCTCTAATATAAGTCATTCTCTAAAAAGGAATTAATGATTTTTTTTATAAGATGGAAAGTAATGACATTTTTTATAATTCATTTTACATAAAAAGATAGATTATTAATTATTTTATTTCAATTTAACTCTTTATCAATTTGTTATGAACCAAATAAAAGGCTAGATATGAGAGAGGACATATTTTTTTAAAAAATTATTTAATAAAGATAAAATAGAAAATTTATTTTTTATAATAACATTATTAATTTAACTATCTATTCGTAGTTCTTACAAGAGAGAAATGACTTGTATATTCAAGCTTATGAGAGTGTACTAAAAAAAAAAAATGAACAGAGAAAATACTCCTTCCGGTCCTATTTATAAGCCATTTTCACCGACCTCATTAATATCAATACAGTAAAAATACAAGGAATAAAAGTAAGAAAATTTTAAATATAATTCTCAAATTAAAAAATAAAAAGTAAATAAATAATATAATATTAGTTTTCTCATCTTTTTCTTTCTTACTTTTTAAAAATAATTTAAAAATTTTAATTTTAAAAAAACAATCTCATTAATTAGTGACTTATAAAGTGAATCCTGATCCACATTGTCCCTCTGTAACTTGAAGTTGGATTTTATACGTGGCAAGAAATTTAAAAAATAAACTTAATCATTAATTTTTTTATTATTATTATTATGTAAAAAAAGTCTTATCAATATTCGTGGAACTAACAACAAAGACTGATCATGGGTTGTCTTTGGAAGATTGAGCTCTTGTGAACCTTGTTATTCATGATTCATCTCTCTCACACCATGCACGTCATTATTACTAACCAAGACTGTACAGAAGGAGGGACCCATCAAGCCAGCATGAACACGAGCTTGCTTCACCATGCCCAACTAGGCAACTACCGAATCAATTAAATATTGCACGGCCACGATCTTCTCTCAAACGTTCTCATCATCATCAAGCAGCTAATAGAGATATACATGCTTGGTCACGTTTAGTGTTCAGACTCCAAAAAGCTGTATAAGAGCCTGAACCTTCAGCCATATATAATGCTATCACGGAGATAGAGATAGAGACTGAGAGAGCAGAGAAAGCAGACCTGTGTCATTATTCTTTCCCGTGTGCTTATTTTTTTCCTTTCCTTCTTCAGACTCCTCCAGAATTTAGAGGGAAAATTCGAAGTACGAAACAAAAGGGTGCTGTTCATTAGTTCCATAGAGTCATAGACTTTCTTCTTGTATTTTACTTCGGAATTTCTCTCCTGTAAATTATGTCAACTTTATGTTTGCTTTATTTACGTACTTAATTTGCTTGGCCTGAGCTTCAGCTTTATGGAGTATGATTTCAAACTTTTACTCCTTTGAGTCACATCCACGTGAGTTTCCTTCTTCGTTCAAAGAGGAAATTTGAAATTTCGCTTCCCATTTTAGTATGGATTTTTCCAGTACGATTTGAAGTTTTTAACTCATTAAGCTCGTTTGAAAGTGCAAAATTATCTGAGATAATGGTCAAAGATTTTTTTCCCTTGATTTTCTTCTAATTTCACCGGCCAGATTTTCCGCTACTCCGAGATATTTGTCCTTTTGGTAGTTTTGAATGGAACGTTTAATCTGAGTCGTAATTTTGTGAAGGTGAATAGCTGGAGATAAGAGTATCGCCGAAGCGTACGTAGAATCAGGGGCTTCGACGAGAGCATTGCGGAGGAAGATGATGAATAACTCTGTTTCGGATAACAGTTTTTACATCGAAAGTGATGAAGAGGATGTGGAAAAGGAGCTGAACAAAGGAGAAGCTGATGCTGATGGCGATGGGAACGATTCAGATTCTTCAAATTTTTCAAATGAAAACCAGCAGCCGAACAAACCCAGTTCATATAACGTTTCATGGCCTCAGAGTTACAGGTCAACCCATTCTATCCTCTGCTATCTTCATTAGATTTGTAAATTTCTGAGCTGTTTCATTGAGTGAATTCTTGTATTGTTTTATTTTCCTTTTTCTTTCTGAAAACGTCAAGACTCAGTAAAATCCTTTTTCATGGGAAAATGGTTAATGTCATTGTTTCCCCCGTTTTTTCGATCGTGGGATAACTTTTTTGCTTCTTTGCTGGAAGTAGAAAAATTCCAATCCTCCTGCACTTAATTGTTTTGCAATGTCTTTATGCGCGTTGTGTTCTGTGTGCCCATGCTTCTTATTCATATCTAAACGGCCTCGGCTTAATCGTCTTTGTGCAAGATTAAATGTCCTCTGATAATCTGTCCAACTGGGGAAGTAACTTTCATCTTCTTTGGGATTAAACGTTGAAGTTTCTGGGCCAATATTGTCAGTTAGCGTTTCGGTTTACTGATTCTATGTCAGTCATTTAAATTTTCTGCCTAAATTTTGCTTGTGAACAAGTTATACATGTCTCAAATGTTGAATGAGGAGGACCGAGGATGATAGAAATGTGACTGGTATGAAGTGGTTATCATTGAAAGAATTTTAGATTTTAGATTTGAGTGAAGTGAAATATGAGTCCTGACAGATTTGCTCCTTGTCACTTTTGAGTGCATTAACCTGAACGCTTATTCTATTGCAACCAATTTTTCAGGCAGTCAATTGATCTATACAGTAGCGTACCATCGCCAAATATCGGATTTCTGGGCACACCTTCACTGTCCAGATTAAGTAGTTCCTTTCTTTCTACATCTTTAACAAGAAGGCACACTCCTGAATCACTGTCTTCTGCAAAACCTCTGTTACAACCAACGGCAGATGAGCCACAGAGACGAAGCTCTCATACTTTGCTTCCTCCTTTTCCTTCTAGGAGGTCCATGATTAAGAAGGATGCTGCCAAGGTTTCTCATGAAGCTCCAATTCCTTGCCAGTGCTCTTATGGACAAGCTGTGCTTAATGGTAATTTTTTTAGAAAAAATTACATTCATGAAAAAACAAGTCATATTTCTATTTTAACAATAATCCATTTCACATTGGTCATTATCTGTGATTAATTTTCTTGGGAGGGGGTTGGCGTGATTTTCCCCTTCTTTTAATCTCACCCTCTTTTGAATGAATAAAAGAGAAAGAAGGCTGAGAAAGAAGGAGAAAATTAACAATGAAGTTATATTAGATATGTAAAGAAGCAAAAGATGTTGTGGAAATTAGTTGCTTCACTAACATGTCATGCAATATCATTAACTGAAACTTCTGCAGAATTTTGTATTTGGAAGGCATTATTTATCACCAATCTGGCAGACCAGTTTTTATGTTTCAGTGGTCCTACTTCATGTCTCTATTTCTTAGCAAATTTCCACCTCCATCATTGAGTTGAGGACATTATTTCTAACTCCAATAAGGTCTAAATAAAATGAGTGTTTTTTTTTTTTCCTCATTATAATTTTGACACATGGATAACATTATTAGGCTCATGGGTCAGTTGTGAAGATGTGACGTTGTCCATACTCACAATAATGCATTTCATGCGGCGAAAGGAAACTGATAGGCTGATCAATATGCAAAGGGGATGGGCCACCTGTGTTTAATAATAAAAGATATATATAATCGTTAGTGTAGTAAAATAAACTAGATATGAATAATGTGCACATACAATTTCTCTTCAGTAAATTTGGGTATTCTATTTCTTTTATATCATCATATTTATGAATAAATAATTAGGGGATACAACTGCTGTAACTAATCATTTATAAAATTAAGATGAATTGTTATTGTAAAATCTCTACACACATTCTGATAATATTTGTTAGGATGCGTGCTATTCCCCTATTGTACAGCAGGTGTCACTTCTATTTGGAAAAGGGTTTATTCATTATTACTTTCAATATTATCTTTACAAGAACCATTCGAACAAGTTCACATGCTGCTAAATTGTATTTATTGTTGTTAATGGAATTATGTATCTTGCCCAATTTTTACAGTGCTGGTAGATTTTTTCTACTTGTCTGGTCACTAAAAACTGGACTGTAAAATTTGAGTTATTTGTATGAGAACTGTGTGTGTGTGAAACATGACATATGTAGGTTAGGCATGAGTGTATGATTGTATGTACTTAAAGGCGGACCCATATACGGCTGTCTGAAAAATATTATTATGCTTCTTAAATTCACATGCATGCACTTTAAAACTAGCCGGGAATGTTTGTCTCATTCTTATATTGTTTTTTCCAGGCATAAATGTCCTGTGTGGTGTTGGAATCCTTTCTACCCCTTATGCTGCCAAAGAAGGTGGATGGCTTGGGCTTTCTATTTTATTGATTTTTGCAGTTCTTTCCTTTTATACTGGGATCCTTTTGCGTGCCTGCTTGGATAGTGAACCAGGGCTTGAAACATACCCTGACGTTGGCCAAGCTGCTTTTGGAACTACAGGACGTATTGCCATCTCAGTAAGTCTATCTGGTGATCTTTTGTTTCATGTGATTGTACTTTTGTATTTTTATTAACCTGTGGGTTCATTTGGAGTAATCAGCGACCCTGTAATGAAAGAAAGGGAATATGACAGTAAAAGGCCTAGAGATTATTGACAGCTCGGAATATTAAAAATCAAAGTTACTTTCTAAAATTAGCACTCATGTTCTCTAGAATAACAACTTGATTCATTCACTTGACCCACCATCTCGATATCTGTCCCATCTGAATCATTGGTCTTTATATCAAATGAGTAGAGAGAGAATGAAGCTGCTATATTAATTCCATATCAGTAGTCTTGCACTCTACTTTAGCTTCTGCTTTATATTAGACTGCTGGGGACGCAACAGGGTCAGCTCCTTCCTCAACTACTTCTATTAAGCTCATCAACTGTTAACTAACATCTTGATATATTATGTCGTTATATCACTTTTGTAACATCTGGAAAATAAAGTTGCAACCTCAGGAAGGAATTTTACTTGTTTCTATAGTCCGTGGAAGAAATTTTGATATTTAAGGTTCTTAGCTGTTATTAATAAAGGTTTTTTTCAGCCAAAGAATAACTTGTAGATTAATTGTCATTTTCCTTAAAAGAAAGAGGGTGGGAAGGAGTGAATCTCTTTTATAAAAATGAGTAGTCTCTAACGTGTTGTTTATGCTTTTTCTATTTGGCTATGGCGGATGCAGATTATATTGTACGTGGAACTATATGTAAGTACAGTTCCTTTCACTCTCTTTATGCATTCCTTTGGAGTCTCATCCATTTTAGTTTGACTGACTGGCTATTTAGTTGAGTTTGCTTCTCCTATATGTTTGGACATAAGTAAACAAAAATTCATTTTTGGTTCTCATACATGCTGTTTTTGAAGCTAATATCGAGTTCTCCTATACTTTATATCTGGGGAAAAAAAAGAATTGTGCAGCTTTTATGAACTACCTTTTTTTCAATAAAAGGTCATGATGCAGATGATGACCATATAAAGAACTAGTTGGAGTAAAACATGCCAAAGATTAGTTGGAAACACGTGTAAGATTTTCCAAAGAATGGTTATTTCATTCGATGCTTGATTTCCCCTCCAAATTAGTGAAAATGTTAAGAGACTTCCCCACGTTTTATTTTTTTTTTTTTAAAAAAAGACTTCCCTAAGATGCTTCGTTAGTCGTTCCACAATTGAGTAGTTTGTCATATATAATAAGAGATGGTGATCCTGACACATTTGTCCGTTTCAGTCTTAATAACTGAAATTTAAAAGGGCGTGAATATATTTTGTTACCCTTTTGTGGTGCTGCTATTTTTCATACTGGTGGTCCATGGAGCTTACCATTTTCTCCTCTGAGGTCTTTGGAATTGGCAATTATTTGAGATATTTAATTAAAGTTCCTTCATGCAGGCTTGTTGCATAGAGTATATAATTCTGGAGAGCGATAATTTGTCCTCTTTATTTCCAAATGCACACTTAAGTTTGGGTGGCATTGAATTGAATTCACACATTCTATTTGCACTGTTGACCACCTTGGCTGTTCTTCCCACTGTTTGGCTCCGTGACCTAAGTATTCTCAGTTACATCTCAGGTAGGAAACCTATTACCAATTAATTATCCATTATCTGAAAACATGATAAATCTGTCTCTTTTCACTTAGGCTATGCTTGGTTGGAGGGGAGGGGAGGGGGAGGGGGAGGGGGGTATCCCCCCAATTTTTTTTTTTTTTTTTGGGGGGGGGGAAGGTTTTGGAGGTTTAAAATTTCCCCTCCCCTCCCCTCCAACCAAACACTACCTTAAACTCAAAGTTGATGATACCTTTTTCTGGTCTTCTATTTGAGAGCCCCATAGATTTGCCACAGCCTTGAGAAGCAGTCTATAGGGTGCTCCTCAGAAGCATTGAAGTTGAATCCTAAAAGACATATTACCGAATACAAATCGCCTTTGCTGTCAAAATCCCAACCATTGAGTGACAAAATTCTCACAAATTGGGGATTATACCATGTTTGGACACAGAATGTTTGACAATAAAATGGGAAAAAGAATAGAAAGTAAATGAAGAATGACCTTTCCACCAAGACAAATGATATTGAGTAATGATCATAAGAACGTCATAGACAATACACAGATTGTTCTTCGTGATTGATTGCCTCCTCAGTTCCTTCAATAACGCCAAACATTTACTCACGCTAGATCATAGAAAGTGTCTCATGAACTTTTCAATCCTCTTTATTAACCAAATAGAAATCCTGATCAAGAATAAATATAAATTGTAGCTAGACAAGAGCTCTTGGGACATGTCATATGAATTCCTAAAGAGGATTAAGCAACCTTCTATACATCAAAAATTTTTGAATCTGCTGAGCTTTAGGATCCTAAAAGAAATAGGTCTGGGCTGACCAACATAATTAGTCAACCTAGTCTAGACAAAATTTTTAAAAATTTGAAGCAAAACCAACGAACTCAAAGAGTCATATCTCTTCCTGAGAAACCTTCATGGCCTGTGAACCTGCCAACAAGGCCCTCACCAGATCCCTTGGGTATCTCCAAGGAACACCGACTCAGATACCTGACAACTTGATTGTTAGTTTCTGTTGAAAATAGAGATGTTGGATCTGTTTCTAGAAAATTATGGACTTTTTAACATCTTCTGCATGTCTATTTATGTCGTCATTACCCTTGTACATATTTCAGCCATAACTTTTCATGAGTCTCGACAATATTGTGGGCAAATTTAAGCTCTCTGAAAAAATCTACAAAACTGCAAAAGACTTATGGTATTATCACCCCACAGCGTCTAAAGCATTTGAAATTTTAGATTGATCAATTCCATTAATATTTAAACATTGCTGCCTACATCAAAAGTAGTGCTTCAAAGTTAAATATGATTTGCATGTATGAACTATATTTGCAGCTTCTAAAAGTATGTGCGAATTTCATCTCTTGTTTTTTTTTTTTTTCCATTTGGAAGTCAAAATTCTACATTAGTATAATTTGGAATGACTTTTATCACTGTTCTTTATTCTTGGTCTAGCTGGAGGAGTTATTGCATCAGTTTTGGTGTCTCTCTGCTTGTTGTGGATTGGGCTGGTAGATGGAGTTGGCTTTGAGCACAAAGGGACGCCATTGAATCTTGCAACTCTCCCTGTTGCTTTGGGTGTCTATGGTTACTGCTATTCAGGACATGCGGTGTTCCCAAATATCTATACATCAATGGCAAATCCAAATCAATTCCCTGCAGTTTTATTAGCATGGTGAAGCAATAGTATTTTTAATTTTGCTATAATGAATCTACACTTATCCAGTCCTTTGTATTTTCAGATGTGTCAGACACTGAAAGTGTCCTAGCACATGTCCATCACAAGTCTTCTTAAAATCAAAGAGTTATTTTTAAGTAAATTATACAATCTTCTCTGAATCTTGATGGAATAACATAAGATAGGTACAAACCTTTATGCGGTATTTGCGCCTTATTACAATAGAGATCTCCCCTATTATACCAGCCAGCGTACAATAAGTTATAAATACCTAAGCTGGTTTAATAGAAAGAGGTACTTGAACAGAAAATGATGACCTTTGTGTTTAGAGAAGTCATGATTAAATCTTTTATAAATGCTATTCCCATTTATCCTGATACAATAGAAACCTCTTCTGGAATAATAGTGGTGATTTCTATGTAATTTTAAGAAAGATTTGTTTACTTTACTCTTATTTTTTCAATCTTCAAACATGACCTAACTCGAATATATGGAAGTCAAAACAAAAGCAAATAGCATGAGATGAGAGACTGGAAACCCCAGCTCGACAGGATAACATAAGTTCCTTGCTAATTTTTTTTTTCCTATAAAGTGAATAATTTCAATAATATAGCTTAATATTTTTTGTTCAGAAAATTTCTTTCAGAACACTATAAAAGGAGGTCCTTAAAATACAGGGATCTATCTGCTTCTAATTGTGATATTTTTCTTTTTACAGCTTTGGTATTTGTACCTTGTTGTACGCTGGAGTGGCTGTCATGGGGTACACAATGTTTGGAGAAGCAACACTTTCTCAGTTCACTCTAAACTTGCCTCCAGATTTAGTGGCCACCAAGGTTGCTGTGTGGACAACGGTATGGTCATTCTAGAATCCATGATGAGTTCTTTGATGGTTCAATGATATATCAGACTAGACTTGTTGGATTTGCTTTTACTACCTCTTAATTTCATTCAAGGAAATGTACATGTTCCAAGTATGAACTCAGCAATGTGATATCTCAACAGCACATTAGACTCAACTATATAAGTTGCTGACATTATTGTCTTCGATTTCTTCTTCTGCAGGTGGTCAATCCATTTACCAAATATCCTTTGATACGTGCGTGCGAGAACTATATAGGCATATGTGCATTAACACTTACATTTATTATAGATCCCCAAATAAAAGAAAAATTTAATTGCAATTGAAATACATCTAAGGAATCTAAGCATTCAGTTTTAGTTCCGTTAGTAAAAGGACTCTAGCTTTGGTAATTTTGCTCTAATCTGCGCCTATAGTGTGAAAAATAAATTTGTTTCTTCTTAATCAGTACCACATATGCATTGACCATATCTCCAGTTGCAATGAGTCTGGAGGAGTTGATACCATCATCCAACTCTAAGTCTTACCTATATTCCATTTTCATCAGAACAGGACTGGTAGTTTCTACGCTTGTTGTTGGTCTTTCAGTTCCTTTCTTTGGTGAGTCTTTCTTTTCTTCATCCTCTTCCCATGCACTTGCTCTTTATTTCAAGGGAATTGTCCGTTCAAATGTATCTTCTTTCTCAATATAGAACTATAAACAAAGCCAACAAACTGCAGTAAAATATAATCAAGTTAGTGGAATTATATCTATGATACATCAAGATCTGGTGGGCGTGGAGCGAGTCAAGTCATGTACTTAAAGGAGATTAGTGAGTTTGTCTTTGTTTTAAGCTAGTAATAGAAGTTGTGCTTAACAAACAATTATAAATTTGGATCTAGTGATGCTAGTCTTTTTCAAAGGCTTTATATCAGAACTTGGTCAGGGGTTTTCAATCCTTCCTTTCAAAAGCTGGTTTGAAGACAAACCTCCCTTAAGAGGGAAAGGATAACACTTCCTGGCTTGAGAGTGTGGATCAAGTTCAGCTAGGCGATGCCATAAAGTTGAAAAAATTGTGCCTTAACTATAACTTTTGGCCTTGTAGCAAGTGTTCTTCCTTAATTCTTGGTCCATTTTTCAGGGCAAACTTGAGATAAAATTAATCAGTCGTTTGATATATATTCAACAGAAAAAAACAATATATGGGAACATTTTTTATAACACAACACTACTCTATTGACGCTAAGAAAATCCTTCAAATATCACGTTTCGACCAAATGACTTTGTGCATTTTTCGATTGTGTTCTACATTCCTTTGCTGCAGGTCTGGTAATGTCGTTGATTGGATCTTTACTCACAATGCTTGTTGTAAGTTTCCATATATATATATATATTGGGTGCTATTCCTTTCTCGTAGAGGTTTTGACCATAGCATTCAGTTAACTGAACTTAACCTTTTTCGCAGACCTTGATTCTTCCCTGTGCTTGTTTCCTGAGAATCTTACGTGGCAGGGTCTCGAGCCTCCAGGTTCAATGATTGCACTCTTGATAATATTACTCTATTCAACCCATTATTCTGCTTTCTACCATTTCATAGGCCATCCAAAGCCTATTAGAATATGCAACAAGGAAATGAACTCGGAACACTTGATTAGACTATTCGCAAACATCAAAATAAAATTATGCAAGAACTATAGTTACTCAACAATATGGATTTTCTAGTCTCATCATATATTTTCCTTTCCTTCTTCATTTCCAGAGAATTGTCCCTAGAATTTAATAGATTTGGATCTTTTGAAACGCTTTACAGAGGTAAAGTTGATAAAGGTTGAAAAGATGAGTAGTATCATTTCTGTACATGTGGATTCTGTAAAAATGGGACTCACTTTCCTCCTTTCATCTCTCAATTTTTACCATGGAACAGGTTTTTTTTTTTTTTAAGACTTCTAGCGTGTTCGAGGGGCGGAAAGTTGAGCAAAGACTTCTAGGCTCATCATTTCTATACATGTGAATCCCATACAAACGATACTCCTCTCTTTTTTATTTCTCTCAACTTCTATCACAAGTTATAAAGTGCTTAAAAAAGACTTTTAGCTTTTTTTTTTTGGGGGGGGGGGTGTGGGGGCCCAGAAAGTTGATGAAAGGAAAAGAGCAGTGGCGTTATTCCTATACATGTAGATCCTGCAGAAGTGGAATTCACTCTCCCTTTTTTCTCTCTCAACTTTTATCATAAAGTACTTAGAAAAGACTTTTAGCATGTTTACACTATACAAGATGAAATTGTGAGAAAATATAGAAAAAGAGAAGTAATATCATTTCTGTACACTCCTCTCTTTTTATCTCTCAATTTTATCATAAAGCACTTAAAAGAGACTATTAGCATGTTTCGAGCAGAACATATAGTTTACCAAGTAGCCACATCCAACGCGGTACCAAACACATGCTTTAATGATGGATTGAGGCATGTTAAACATTTTGGTCCCGTTGGTTACTGAAAAAAGAATTAAATATAATGGATTGAAAAAATTAAAAAAAAAAGAAATTAAATTATCTTTTCTCTCATGATAAACATGATAAAACTCATTAATATATATTAAAAATGTTAGAATCATCACATCTTTCAAAAATTTTATAAATTATAATTCTCAATCCCAGAAATTAGATTCCTATTCTTTTTATGAATGTGCTTACTTATCCCCTCAATTATTTTATTTTTACTTTTATTTTTTTAATCCATTTAATTCCTTTCTAGTAAACAAACAGGAACTTAATTTTTGCATAACTCTCTCATAATTGAACATTTGTGGTATGCAGGCATCACTTTGCATTGCAGTGATCACGGTAGGAGTTGCATCATCTGCTTATGGATCGTACTCAGCTCTTACCAAGATTATAGAAAGCTTGAGACAATGAAGTTCTTGTGGCTTCACAGCCCTGCACAATCCTTAATCTTATTATTATTGAGCTTCTTCATGTCTTGTTCCATCCATTTTCCCCCAGTTTTGTTTCCTTTGTCTGAGGCTCTCCTGCACCGTTACTGTGTTGCTGGTGGTTCTTTCTACTTTGCCACTGTGAGTTTATCATTGAGAGGATTTTTTGTTTTGCTTTTTTTTTTTTTGGAACTAAAGCACACTGCTATATTTATTTCATTCTACATATTAATATTTGTTGCTAGTCTCTGTTGCATCTTGTATTCGTTTTCTGCATTGTGACAAATTATTAATGAAAAAAGGATACTTTATGCATATTAATTTTTAATTGGGATATTTTAAATTTAATTTAAATAATAAAAAATAAATAAGAAAACAAAAATAAGAAGGAGAAGAATCGAATTACATGTAAAAAGTTTAACTGTTGAAGTAAATTTCAATGATTTGTACAACTAAGTAAACATGGTTTTGTTGAGAGAGTGACAAATGGAAGAAAACTCCTTGGAGAGATTATTTTATATAGCTATATGACAGGAGCTAATTGAGAATAAATTTCCTTTTTATTTATACAGATTCAAATTTAAAACCTTGGATCAATGGAAAATATTGCTTAAAAAGGTCATTGAAGAATGTTAGTTTCATTTTGATTGTTAGCTAAGAAACATATTTTTGAATTTCATTTATTGTCTAGACCTTTTTCCCCCTAAAAAAATGATTCTATCATCATGACACTATTGCCTAATTCTAGGATGAAAGTTTTCTTTTTATGGCAAAATGTCCGAGAGATTGGGGGCTTTTTCTTTTCTTTTCTTTATCCAACATATGATATCTCTTTTTCAACTTTAACCAAACAAACAGATATAAAGAATTCCACATAAGTAATCTAAATATAATTTTTTATTCACCAAAAAAATAAATATAATTTTTATAAAAGTATAAATTACTTAAAAATCTTATATTAATAATTTTGTAATTTTATAAGATTTTTCTATATTTGGATTGTTTCTGTGAGATTGGGGGTATTTTTTTTTTTTAACAAATATCTTCACTTTTCATTTCTTTCCATTTGATTAACCACGAAATATGATGCAGTGATCGTCATTATTTTACAATTTGTTTCACCAAGTGTCTTTGCAACTAACCAAATAGGCCTTACATTAAATATTTGAGTATTACAATGGAATTATTATATGTGTGCACATAATAAATTAGTAAAAACGCCTGAACAATTGCATCAATAAATTAATAAAATTTATAATTTTAAATTGATTCGGTGATGAATTTAAATTTTTAAAAACTAATTTTGAAAATGTGTATGATGTGATTATTATATTATACTGTCATTTCTAATGCTATGTTGGGTTTTTCCCCCGGATTGTGAAAATGGGGCCTCCCCTCCAAAATGGAAGGATATGAAAGGGATGAGTATAATTTTGTTGCATTGTGATTAATTTAGTCATACCTCATTTTGATAATCCAAAAATATTCTTCTCTAAATAAAACCTGATCTCCTTTATTTTGAACATTGTTCGATTGTCTGTCAACATTGATAATTCAAAAATGCTCCTCCACAAATAAAGCTCAATTAAATATTATGATCCTTTTTCGTGAAAGCGGGTCTTTTTTAGTGATATAAACACACTTATCTTTTCATTAATTTTAACAAGTATTAACTAAACTGTTGTTGATTTCTTGAACTCATTAATTGAAAATTTTTCAGGCAACAAATAAGTAATTATCAATTTTTCTCTTGCTTTGTTAGATGGAATTTAATGGCTTTTTGATCCAATGGTTGATCATTGCTGCATGTTTCGTTTGATATATTTTAGTTTCTGCATTGTTGTTTTCTTATTTTACTTATTGTCGTCATTTCATGTTGGACTAGGTTGTTTCCTTTTTTTTTTTTTATATGCATTTTGCTTTCTACATTGTTATTTCATATTTTGCTTGTTGCATTCATTATTATTACGTTTAAGGAAAATATCACTTAGGGACCACTGGAAGTATTTCATATCAAAGAAGAATATTAAGATTCTGATTTTTTACTACACCTCCTTAATCCTTAGTTGAAAATAAACTTTCACAAGAAATGACTTAATTGTTCTTCTTTATGAAAGAGAAACAACTAAACAAGAATGGATTGCTAACGTCTGAATGTGTTATTGTTAATAACAAATTACTTGTTGTCAAAATTCAAATGGCTTGTTATTTATGCAAGGTGAAAATTTGTTCTATTAAACATGTGTTATTAGTTTTCAATCTTGTTAAAGTTCAAATGTGTTTTTGTCAATCACAAACTTATTGTTGCCAAAATCCAAATGGCTTATTGTTATACAAGGTGAGCACTTGTTCCTTTAAAGTTGTGTTGTCAATTTTTCAATACTATCAAAGTATGAATGTGTTGCTATCAATAATGAATTAGTTGTTATCAAAACGTGAATGACTTGTTCACTTAGAGTGAACACTTATTCTATTAAACCTATGCTGTTAGTTTTTCAATCTTGTTAAATTCTGAATCTATTGTTGTTAATCATAAATTAGTTATTGTCAAAACCTAAATGAATTGTTATTTATGTAGGGTGAGCACTTGTTATTTTAAACTTTAAGGGTAATTCAGTCATTTTCCATAAAAAATCATTTTCAGCTAGGAACCAAAGGGGTGCGCGAGAAATCAAAATCTTAAAAGTGCTTTTTTGATATAAAATACCTCCAGTAGTACTTTAGTAATGCTCTCCCTTATGTTTAACTTGTACGCTACTACTGTTAAAAAAAATGAACGGCTCTAAAAAAGATGTCAACAGCAAATACTTTCATTGGTGGATTGGACTAGAGAAATAGTTGATCATCTCATGTATGCTTTTCTTGTTGAGTATAGCACTAGTGGCCAAGTGAATGTCCACATTCACTATTGCCATGACAACATTGTGGAAAAAATGGTTGCTTTGTTTGGGAACAAGATTGAGAGGGAGAAAGTTAAAAATTGTTGGAAGATATTGAAGAAAAACGTCCCAAATTTTTTTGACATTTTTAGGAACGGCATGAGTGGTTTTTGCTTGGAACCCATCTACTTGTCTATGCCATGAGGAGCTCCAAGTTTGGAATAATTTGATTGAGGTAAGATTGTTTCATATTTTTGTGTTTTTGCTCACCTTGGTTATTGTTATTGTTGCTTAAGGCTTTATTTTTACTAATAGCTTGTTTATTTTTTTGGCTAAACCAATGGCAATACATTGGAGAAATACACCTCTCTCTAATTATCATAAGATGGTTAAATTTCATAGATATGATAGAACTTCTAAAGATGGATCTTTGATTCCCTTGCATAAGGAAATGACCATATACATTCATCTAACTAGAGATGAGGGCCTCAAACTATTGATGAGGTTGACAGCCTTGTATTGCAAAATAATGTAACATTGATAACCAAGTGCTTGAATTAACTGGTAAGGGGGTTGATTGAGCTTAATAAGAGGTTTTGAGTTCAAACCCTGGCTATAAAATAGTGATTAAATTCTTAATGGGAGGCAAGCTTCTAAAGAGATTCTTGCAGGTTGCCAATTGAATTACTATGGGTCAAAGACTTGGGAGTTTACAAAACAACGATCTAACATTTGAGAATTTCTTTGATAGCGAATTAAACCATACAAGCAACAAGAAAAGCAAATAAGCATCAATATTCAAAGAGAAAAAACTTGAACATTTTGCTAGAATTGAAAAGGCAATGTTTGATATGGAAAATGCAATAAAAGAAGAAAACGTCATATTAAAGAAAAATACAACCAACCTATCAATTCCAACAAAAGAAGCTTTGAAGATTATTAAAGAAAGTGGAGTGGTCTTATCAAGACTTCTAATATATATGACTTTTTCATGAATGATCTTATCAAGCGGCCACTAGTATAAAGTTTGTCTTTTACATGGGACTTTTTACATCAATTAAAAGGCACTTGCTGTTAAAAATAAATGTAGTGGCATTTTTGTAATATTATACTGTCATTGTAGGACTTTTAACATCGAGTTAAAATTAACCATGGTAGAAAATACTTTTAACATCGGGTATCAATTAACCCGATGTTAAAAGTTTAAAAAATTAAAAAATATGTATAATATAATACTTTCAATAGCAGATGCCAGCTTATTCGCTATTGAAAGTTTAAAATAAAAAAATACTTTTAATAGCAGGTGCTAGCTCACTTGCTATTAAAAGTCAATTTTCAATAGCGAGTAAGCTGGCACCTACTATTAAAAATATTCAAATTTATAAAAAAAATTAATACTCACCACACCTTCTATCTTTTCCATCAATTTCTTCTACCCTCCATCTTCTTTCATCAGCCTCAGCACCCTCCCCTAAACTCACTCTAGTCTCAGCTCCCTAATGCCTTTTGGTCTTAGCCCTCCTCTCCCAATGCCTTCCTCTTCACCTCAGCCCCTCGAACTTCCTCCCTCCGTCTTCAGCCCCCTTCTCCCAACTCCCTCTATCTTAGCCCCCAACTCCCTTCGTATCAACCCCCTTCCTAATCCTCTACCTCCCCCTCCTCTTTCCTCCCTCCTCCCCCTTGGCAGTCTTCTTTTCTCTCTATCGTCCAAATAGGTTTGATTTCCTTTCTTTTCTTTTTTTTAAAAAATTTTTAATTTATATATATTAATTATTATTTAATTGTTGCTGTTTGAATTGTTTAGGTATAAACTTGTTATTTTTTGCTTGAAATTTTTTTTTGGATGTCTAATTTTTAGAGGAAAATATGCCACAATTTTGTGAATTTCATTCTTTTTCCTAAATTATTTCAAGTTTAGTTCTTATTGATATTAATTGTTGTTGGGCTATTACTGGCTTCATAAGGCCTTAAGCTATTGTATGTGATTATTTATTTAGTGTAAAATTATAAATTTTGATTTGTAAAATTTTTTAAAAGTTTGAGGAGGTTCAATTTTTAGAAAAGACTCTACTAAAATTTTTCTAAATTTATTATTTTCCTTAAATTACTTAAAATCTTATATTAATTAGAAATTTACATTTTTTGAAATAGTTTGAAAATGATAACATGCACATTAGTTTTATTCTCCTTTAGGTAGTGACATATAAATCATAGTTGGATAAATGCTAGACGAACGAGTAATGAGTATGATAATGGAGTGAAGGAGTTTTTGTAATTTGCTTAGAAAAAATGTTGTTGACAATAGTGGGAGGGTCTACTGTCCTTATATAAATTGCTTGAATGAGAGGGACTAAGTGTTCCTGAAATAAGAGAACACTTGATTTGTGATGGGATTTGCATGAATTATACGGTGTAGATTTGGTATGTTGAATGATTAAAAAATCATAGTGGTACATCTTAATATATGGATGATTGGAGGTTTTATTTATTATTGTATTGTTTGAATTATGTTTTATTTACAATTTTTTATGTTATTTTTTAGGAACATGGAGAAGAATTAGAATAAACCTACTAACAATGCTCAAAGACAGTCGATTGTAAAGGTTATTCCAAGATAGCCTATTGTAGAGGTTACTCTGAGCCAGCCCACTACAGAGGTTAGTCTAAGCTAACCAACTGTAGGGGTTGCTCAAAGTAGTGATAGTGATCCTAGTCAGAAAAAATTAGTGAGGGGGGGTAGATGGCGCATGCAACTGAAAGAGTTGACCTTGAGTAGGACTACTGGCCACAGGTTACCAATCCAATTCAATTGGTTATGGAAATCACAAGGACCAAATAAGGCCAAGTTTGTTAGTTACTTTTGGTTCTCGTCACGTAACAAGCCCAATATCTTATTTGAAGATTGGCTTGATATGTCAGAATATGTGAAGGAACAAATTTAGGAAAGCATTTTGTAAAGTTATAAATATTTGTAATTATTATATGTAAAATACTAACTATTATTAATTGTAGCTCACCTACAATGTTTCGAATGATCAAGCATATTGGAGACAGCTACTAAAATACTATGAAGAACATTTGAGAAGTTTCAAGACTAACTTTGTGAGGAAATTTATCTATGTTGAGTTGAAAGAAGGTCAGCCTCATCCTAATCCTCTTGAAACATATTAGTTTCTGGATGAATAAATTTAGCAGGAATTCTATAAGACTTGAACTTTTGAAAATGTTGTGGTTAGTCAATTTTTAATTGATTTAATTTTATTAATTTAATTTAATTAATGTATTAATTTGTTAATTTTTTTATTAATTAATAGGAGAAATGAGCAAAAGGGCAAGAAATTACTCGAAAAAAATGAATGCCCCCACACAATGTCTCATGGGAGTTATGATCAGGTTGACAATATTTTGATGGATGAGAAGTTGAAGAAGAGAGAAGAAGAAGTTAAATCAGATCCTTCTATTCTCTTATCCCTACCATCACCCATCTCTCATAAAGATAAATGGAGATATGGTTATTAATATAAGAAAGAAGGGTATACAAGTGAGAAGACACACAAAGTTGCCAAAAGGATTATAAGTAACATTTAATTCTTTAATTTTTTATCCAATTATTCATATTTCTTGTTATGATTTTTGTTTTGTTTGTTATAGGAGACTCTTAAGGAACATCAAGCTTAAGGATCCTTCACTCCAAAGGGTATGAATGACATATTGTGGTTGCTATAGGAAAACCAAAGCATCTAGGGTATGTTAGAGGTGTTGGATTTCGTGTAGGAATCAGAGATTACTTTGTAGCACCTACACATTTTAGCAGCTTGGCTGATGTTACGAGAGAGGAGCTAGAAACTGTAATAACAAATATAAGACAACTAGCAATGAAGGATGTTGAAGCTTCATTTGAAGCCTGCTTGAAAGCCTGGCTTGCAAAAATAAAAGAGGAGATAATGTGTTTTATGACCTCACAACAAGAGATGATTGCTAATGCACCTCATACACAGTCTCTTAGATTTCATAGCATGAAAAGAGTAATGTTCTTGGATACATGTCAAAGTGTCTTTCAACTAGAAATACTGATAAATTGTGTGAGTTATATCTAAAGGACCTTGATAGATGCTTGGTCGCTCTTGACAATGTTCATACTTTGGGACAAACCATCCACCACAAACAAATGCAACAAGATTAAATGAGAGTAGTAGTAGAAGATGTAAAAGTACTAAAGGCGCTCATCCTATTCCCTGTTGATGAGGTCAAAACTATGTTGAAACTGTTGGTACTTTTATCATGTGGCTCAAGTGACTTGTGAGTATGGTTCAAACTGCAATACGTTTTATTAAATATTTCATGTATTTATTAAATATTACTTTCTTATCGTTTTTTATTAACTATTTCTTGCTTTTTTAGGTTTCCTCGCCAAATCTTCCCCCTTTAAAACTTCCATAGCCCCTATTGTAACACAATCACTACAGTTGATTCCTCTCCAATAAATAATTTTATTAGCCTATGATAAATCATTCAAATAAAAAATGTTTGTCAAGGAAAATGATGTTGTGGCATGAATAATCCAGTGATGATTGAAATGGAAGATTTGAAGTGGCTTCTCTCAAAAAGTCAACTTACCATAACATCAATTGAGTTATTTATGTTATAAGTATGTTTTACTTGAATATAATTAATTTATGAAGTTTAGTCAATTAACATGATTGCATTATTTTAGGTACATCCATCGTTTGTGCATCATATCAGGCAAAGGAGATAATTTTGAATTCCTTTGCCTGCATCACATGACAGAGAAAGAGAATACTTTGGAAACAAGATTCCAGTACCTCCAGTAAAGAATATGTGAAGTCAAAAAGAATGTTTTCATGGCTTTATACGTGCACTTATAAGGACCAATTTGTAATTAATTTTTTTTATTAAATGTGGATTTATTCTAACTCACCCTATTTTACAGGGACCACTGACAGCTGATTTTTTTTCATTGAAGAGTAACATAATCCTCTTTTTATGCTCCCTCCATTAGAAGCATATGAAGAAGTTGATAAACTCATAAGTATACTTGTAGAAAAACTATTCAATTTAATTTTTTATGGATATATTAATTATAAATCTCATGATTTTGATCATAGAACAATGAAAACATACCAAATAAAAGTTCTAAAAAAGCACGCACATAAACTCAAGGATCCCATGTGGATTGAGCTAAAGGTAGGTAAAACTAACACTTTATTAACTTATTCAATTATTAAGATTTTTTGTTGATTGCTTATATATGATTTTATACAGAGTCGTAAGCAACTACAGAAGACTAGCTTGTGTGGAATATATATTATGAGGTACATGCTCAACATCATCACATTGGAAATGACCTCATTTATTAATGAGGTAAATATATTTTTTAAAAGCTAATTTTATTATTATTTGAATTAGTTAATTAATGTTTTAATAGCAATTTTATATTTAAATTTAAATATTTGACAGATCCATTTTCTAAAGAAGAGGTTGACGATATCCTCACACTGGGCACAATATTTTACAAATGGTATGTGAGGTTTAAGTAGTTTTTTTAGAAAATTGTATAGACAATTTGAGTTTTATGTAATTTCTATATAAGATTTTGCATTGAAATTTGGATTATTTATATTGATTGGAGCTAGCTAGTTGGCTTTAAATTGTATAAAATATTTTTATTTGCATGAATTGAGAAATAAGTAGAAATAGATTAATTTTTTTTTTAAAAAAAACCACATCGCTAATAAAAGTGTCACCTTTTTTTTCTTACAAAAATTCTAATAATGGGCAACTTTCAATAATGAATTTAAAATTTCTATTAAAAGTTTTTTTCAACAATGTTGAACAACTATTGTTAAAAGTCACATACTTTTAGCAACTTTCATAACAACAATAACTATAACAACTATTAAAAATATTTTTTATATACTATTAAAAGTCTATTTTATAATAGCAGGCTCATAGCTGTTACTACCTATATACTAAGTATCGGAAAGATGTTATTTGGTTATTAGATTAGTACATGGCTGCACGTTTAAACAAATATTTTTTTGATATATTGCCGCATGCTTCATGATTCAACATACTTTTATATTTGAGAAGGGTGTCTTGCTTTTATCATGGCATTTGTTTAATGCCGTGATTTATGATGTTTTGTTGTCTGCTCTATGATTGAATTTCACATTCCTACCTACCCTAGATTGAATATTATCATTATGAATCATGCCACTAATATATATATATATATATATATATATATGTATGTATCATTATGAATCATACATATAGTTACAATTATTAAATGGTCCCATTTTATTACACCTTTAATCTCTTGGCTTATTGTGTAACGATGAATGCATTCTTTTTAGCATTGGTCTTCATGGTTACATCTTCTAATAAGTCAACATGGTGGAAAAAAATTAGGGGTCTTCAACATGCAATTTGGCTTACTTTATGCTTTTATTAATTTTTTTAATTAACATGAACTCTTTCGTTTAAAAATATAAAATATTTTTTAAAAGATTATATATTAAAAAATATAAAATATTTTTAATCGATGTGTAATCATTGCCTTTTTTTAAAAATGTCCCTATTGATAATGACTTTATATTTATTGTAAGGTATTTAACGGGGATAAATATGAAAAAGTAATATTAATTTAAAATTAAATAACTATTTTATTAAAATGAGATTTGATTAAAAATGCTTTACATTTTTAAATGGAAGGAATATATTTTATTAAATATTCATAAAGTAGGAAAAAAGTAATTTTAATAAGATAATGGCATACTTGTCTATATATATATAATTTTTTTTTCATTAAATTTTTCCCTTACTAAATGAGTTTATATCCGGTTTTAATTTAATTTTATATAAACGATTTTCCTACGAAATATTTTTCCATCTCTGGAATTTTTATTGAAGATCCACCGATTGCAAAATCCCGCCAACTACAGTAATTGTCAACGGTTTAACCTCCTTCACTTGAACCCTTCGCCGCCAAACACAACATTGTAGGCCTGTACGGTTCCTCCCCTTCTACCAAACCGCCAATCCCCCTCTGCCTCCCTGCCTCCCTCTCTCTCTCAGACTTGGGTCTCTGTCTCTCCACGAAATGTTGGAAGCTATTCGAATCTATCCATCTTCTACATCCTTAAGAGCCATCACAACCCTTTCTGATTCTTCCTGTAAAATCTCTCTAGGATTTTTAAACTCTTTGACTCTCGGATGCAGATCGCCTTTTTCATCCGTTTATGCTTCTCGTGAGATCCTGAGGTTTGGGAAGAGATTTCTCGTTCTTCAGCAAGAAGGGTCTTTGCAAGAGCTCGATGACTCACCCGTTTCTGTTGAGCTCCAACCCATTTCTAGCGAATCCATGTTCGATCGGGTTATTAATGGGGCTCCGAAGCGCGACGACGCGGTCGTAATTGTCTGGTAGGTTCTTGCTGGTTGTGGTTCATGTTTTTATTTTGCTTGTTTGCGCTATCTTCTTCTTCTTCTTCTTCTTTTTACCCTCTTCTTCTCGGTATCTTTTGTCTCTTCTATTTTTGCCCCTTTCCCTGGAACAAGTTTCGAGAAGAATTTGCAACCGTAGTGGACTTGCAGAGATTGGAACTAGATATTTGATGATAGCAAAATGACAATGTATGCAAAACATGGGTCCCTTTTCTGTCTGGCCTCACCTAATTGTGGCCAATGGTTTGTGATCTTTCCAGAAAGATATTCTTCTTGAGTTTAGCACAAGTCCATTTTTTCTGGTTCAGGTGAATTTTTCATTTCCCATTTTGTAATGGCTTTGTTAATCTGATACTTGAGGACCTCGATGGGGTTTAAGGTTTCGTTGGTGTTCACATCATCCAGAATTAGATAACCTTAATTAAATAGAATTATTTAAGAAATTAGTGTACAATAAATAGTTTGTTACCGAACAGAAACATATTCTTCTATGGACTTGGCCCGACTTCATTTAAGCTTGTATCTCAACTAGCAAGCATTTAGTAAATTGTAATTTTAAATAAATTTTGTACAAAAGCTATCTCATCATCTACAATGCAATCTATAATTGATTTATTGATCTTCTAGAAGTTGATGAAATCATTTTGTTGGATGAAGCCTCGGGATATGATCAGAACTATCTGGTTTCTATAGTTTGGTAACTTAGGAGTGTTACGTTCCTACTTTGTTAAATTGATTTGAGTTCCGTGAAGCACTTGGAATGACTCTGTTGTTCATTTTCACTAGATGAAAAGATTTTGTTTGCTTCTCTTTGAAAGACCAAGTTAGCAAGCTGGGATTTGATTTGACACAAGTTTACGTGGCTTGTACTTTGTAGGATGGCACGTTGGTGCAGAAAATGCATATATTTAAAACCGCAACTCGAAAAGTTGGCAGCAGAGTATTACCCAGGGTTGGACTCCACTTTCTCTTCTAGCCTTCAAGCACATATCTAACCTGTTTTATCAACTCTTAATTATGATTTGCTTATGCTGGTATGCTATGGTGTAGATTGCGGTTCTACCACGTTGACGTTAATACAGTTAGCCATAAACTTGTTGCGCGGGCTGGTGTAACTGTAAGTCCCTTGTAGCTTCCTTCAGATGCAACATGTGATGCATTCTGTAATTCACCATCTTAAAGCATGTTGTTTATGTGGTGAAATAATCATCTGTGACCTGTAAAGTTTTCTGACACAAATACTGTTACATCTTTATTGGTGCTTCTCAGTTGTACGTGTAGTGTTGCATTGACAACTTTTCCATTAAATTGGTGTTATCACTCTGTGAGTGAGAGAGAGAGAGAGAGAGAGAGAGAGAGAGAGAGAGAAGTTGCCATATAGAATTATTGAAACAAAACAAGGATATGTGTGAATAGGAAAGAAAAAGTACAAACTGAGAGCCTAAGGCTGTTGTTAGCTCATTGTAAGTTTAGCGTTGAGAGTGATAGTAAGTTTATTTGTCTAACTAATGCTACTTTTGAATTTATAAAGTATACCTATTTCTAACAAATTTTTGAGCAAAAACTTTTTAATGGGAATACCCGTAGCAGAATGAATACTGCCTGGCCGCTGATGGCAAAATCTGTTGCCATGATTCTACAATTATGGTTTTCTTGGTTCATGAGTGGTTTTGATGAGTTCATGTAATACTTAAATGGAGGGTGAGAGGATGCTATGTACTTTTGCAAGACTCCCTGGACTCTTTATCACTAGACACATTTTCCGGTGCACTGCATGAAATTTAAGGTGAGGTGTACTACTCATATCTTATGAGTAGCGTGACTTATTATTGATTCAATATTAGATATTGATACGTCGATTCTATCCTAACAACTCAAATCAACTTGGCAAGTACAACTTCTTGGCTATACGACATACTTATGTACGAATCTGTATGTTAAAATACATGCATTTTGCTCTACTTCTTATCATTCTCGTTGCATTTTGCTTCAACTAAATTACTTGTATTTCTTGCCATGTATTTGGATCCTGCGTCTTCTCAAACCTCGCAGAAAATGCCAACCATACAAGTAAGGGCCATTAGATTAGAGTTATTTTGTAACTAATTATATCCTTCCATCGCCAGAGTGTATAGAACCTTTTTTTTTTTCTCCTTTTGTTTCAGTTATGGATGAATGGTGAGAAACGAGCTGAAGTCATTGGTGGCCATAAAGCACATCTGGTAATAAATGAAGTCCGGCAGATGATTGAGAATGAGTCCACTGAATGAGTTAGTAGTGCAACACGTAATTTTTCATTAGTTATCTTCTAAATTCTTGTAAATTCTGAAGGGCTAAAGGGCAAACACATCTAAAAAATTGTCGGCCTGAAGTATCTAACAGTTTAAAGTGAAGAAAAATGTACGAGTGCTTATGAACTTATTTTTTTCAATGCACGGTCATCATTAAATTGTGGATTTAAAATTTAATAGTTTAGCCTCGGATGCACCGAAAAAACAACTTTATGAACAATCGTACATTTTTTTTCATTTTATGCCATTAGATGTTCCTAATCAATGATTTTTTAGATATTTTTGCCTCCACCCAAATCTAAAACCAAGGAATTGATTTCTGCATGATGCTGTAAGAGGAGAGAGCAACACTTGGGGTCCTAAATATGGTACTACGTGGCAAGTGGGGCTCACCCATCTCATGATGGTCACTCTTTCCCCTTGCATTTATTTACTATTGTTTCTGTAGATGAGCAGTAGAACGCCGCGATTTAATGTTTATATTTTTTGACCTGTTATAGCAAAAGGGAATGAATTGTTTTGCTACGTTTTCTTGGCCACCCGATTTGCTTATGGAGGTTCTTGTTTTATTTTTTAAATTTTTTGTTGAGTTAAATGTGTTTTATTTATCTTTTCTCTTTTGGGAACTAGGAAACTCTTGATATCCACCATCTCTGATCCTATTTATAAAGTTAAGAGAGAAAAATATTTTTTGTTTTATTTATATAAGGCATGACATACTAAGATTGTACATAGGTAGAGTTGAATTAGGCATCACTCTTGTTTGATACTTGATTCAATGTTTAATTTGGGCCAACTTGATGCCTAATGTTTAAGGTTGGGTTTGGCCTGATTGACTTAGAAAGGTTTTTACAAATATTTTTTGAAAAATATATAAAAATATTTTCTTAAAAAAATATAATTATTATCATTTAAAATATATTCTTTATAAAATAATAGTATAAACAAATGTAATTTTTTTAAAGATTACATATCAATAGTTGTAAATTATTTTTATATAGTATTAAGTTCAAAACAAATTTTAAATTTTGAAAGAGATTAAAAAAGCGTAATGATAAATGTTCAAAAAGATTATAAGAGTAATATAATTCATAATAACTTAAAAAACATATAAATTAAATATTATTTACAAAAAATGTTCAAAAACAAAAAAATGGTAAATATTCAACCTAGGTTGAACAAGGTAGGGTTTGACCTTTGCTTGGTAAGCAACAATCATTAATAATTATCAATTGGTAATTAATATTAATAACTTTAGTAAATGACATGGGATTTCATAGTAATTCATCATTTTATAGGATTTTTATGTTTTTAGATTCATTGTATGGACTTGAAACTCAACTTAAAACTGATTTTCCTAAAATTAGTACAAACACACATATAAGAGAGACTTTCCAAAAGAATGCAAGGGGGGTAGGGAAGAGGACACTTTCAAGGAGTCCTTTTTTTTTTTTTTTGGTAATAAGTGATTAGCCTATGGTAAGCCAATCATCGTATAGCATAGAGATACCATCAATGGAAATGTCATTAACAAAAACAATGTCCGGGCCATTGTGGTTGGCACAGCGAAGAACTTCCTTATGAGCGCGATGTATTTCAACATCCATGGTACTGTAAATAATATGCCTAAAACTTCCATCTGCATCATCCTCGTGGAGATGATAAACACAACCGTGAATGACTATGAACTTATGATTGGCCGAGGCGAATGTTCTCAAAGACAAATTTTCAGCGGTTCTTCCAGAGGAGCCAACAACCGATGCCAAATGTTTTGAGGCAGTCATTTGGAGAATGTACTACTGGTAGCTGGTTTATGGTGAGTGTTCCAATTAAACCATCCCTACAAATTTCCACATGAAAAACTAGAATCAAAACCACTATGAATTAAAAGTTTCCACAAGCTTTTGCAGTAGGGTAATCACCAACAATATGAGTCACACTATTCTCTTTGTGACACTCAATCAGACATTCACATATTCACATGTGGAAAGTCCCATTTTGAGTCCTAGTGAGTTAGTGAGAAATCTTTTACAAAGAACTCATCAAAGAAAGAATTTAACTTTATTGGAGACAGGCTACCTCCAAAACTTCTTTTAAAGGGGTTCAACTAGATCAACATGTTGATGGAAAACTTTTAAAAAGTCATATTTTTTTTTTTAGTTATATTACACTCCACATGATTTCTTTAATAACGTATTTCTAATTGATTTACTAAAACTAAAGAGAGATGACTAAGTTATTAATCTTATTTAAAAATAAAAAAATTAATTTTAACCTTTAAATGGAATCACATTTATATTACATTCTTTTTCATAATTAATGACTTTAAATAAAAAAAATATTAAAATATTTAATTAATATCTTGTCAAATAATTTATAATAAGGGGCATTCTTGTTTTTAAGGCGCCTTGTAATAAATAGAAGAGGGACTATATTAATGCTCTCTTCATTCCGAATTATAAGATAACTTTGAAGATATTTTCTTGTCCAAAAATATAAGATAACTTGAGAAAAAAATTAAGCTTTTATTAATAATATTTTTTTAATATTACCCTTTAAGTGGAGATAAAATTAAAATAATACTGCTTAAAGAAAAAATAAAAATAATGCCATTGCAGCCTAATGATTAAGCTTGTTATGGGGAATTTTTAAAATTTTATATATATGCTTTTAAAAAAAATTTGTAAAGTGTCTTTATTAAATTTTATTTGCATACGATAATCTATTTGATGACTTGCAAATATTTTTTCTTAAAGGTAATTTTATTTAAAATACGGTTAAATATTAAAAACGTATATAATTTTATTTCAAATTGTTTTATAATTCAAAAGAATGGGTATATAATATAATATAATAGATTTTTTTTTTTGGTGGGGAAGAATATTATAGTTAGACTTCGATTCTCCCTTTCTTTGCAGGTTTCCTATTTTTTGGCGATGTTAGACAGGGTCATACCAAATCATCCAATGAAATCACTACCTTTCTCTGAGGCTGATATCCCGAAGCCCAATAAAATCCTTCAATTTTGCTGTGAAAAAGCCCATGCAGGCACCCGCATCCCCCATCGCCGTCCATTTTGGATCCGACGGTCCTCCTTCTTCCTCCTCCTCAAACCTGCAAAAGCGACCGTTTCGAAGGCCAAGCCACGATGAGCAAGAATCTCAGGCCCACGCGATCTCATTCCTTCTTCTCCTCTGTCACATTCCTATCCCTGCTCTGAAATTCTTCCGTCACGAAGCGTAGTTTCCATTCTCTCCCGAATCTCCCACCTTCCAACGAGAGAGACAGGAGAGGGAAAGAAACACAGCTGGGTTGTTTTCAGCTTCCTCTCCGTACATGTAAGGTAAATGTGACTTTATCAATTTTCGTCTTGTGATTTTTTCTTTTTTTTGACATGGGTTTCCTTGAAATATATGTAAAACGATGTATTTGGTGATAAATGTGAACTGCTTGATGTGTTTTTTTCGTGTCGTCTTTAATTGTGGCTTTCTCTTTTTGGTTTCAGAAGGATCAGGCTTTGGGTTTGTTCGTGTTGATGTGAAGATTCGCTTTTGAGGTGCGGAATCTACGGTATAGTATTTAGTCTTTTCTCATGATTACAATTTGTTGATTGGTTGTGCCCTGCCCTCACCCCGAGTGAAAGAGTAGGTAGAGAAAGGAAGAAACATAATGCTAGAAATTGGGCTATAAATTCTGAGCCTGTTCCAGTGTGGAGGTATGTTAATTTTTTTGTCTGTTGTAGGGGGAATTTATTTCAATTTACCGGGCTATGGAAAATTGGAAACTGTCATCGTTGATCTCTTCAATTTTATATGCGTTCCTATAATTTCATTTCTGTGTAACTGATGGTCATGGCATGTGCTTAATTATAGTTGTTCTTTTGTAGTTAATATTACTTTTAATTTACTTACCTATTTTTGCTGCTATTTCCGCGTAACTTCTAGTTTGGAGATGGCTGGTGGGAGTAATTTAAATATGAAAACAGAGGGCTTGCAACCTCCGTCAAATAGGAATATTGAAGAAACTTTGAAGAGTGAGCTTGAAAGGATACTTCAAGAGCAGCGCGATCCACAGTTAATCTATCAAGAAAGGGATCTCAATATTTTTCGGAGTGGAAGTGCTCCTCCAACAGTAGAGGGATCTTTGAGCGCGGTTGGTGGTCTTCTAAGGAACTCTGATATTGGATTGGTCAATAGTAGGAGCAGTAATAATAGTGGGCTTTTGACTGAAGATGAGCTTCGTTCACATCCCTCTTATCTTTCGTATTATTATTCACATGAAAATAACAATCCAAGGCTGCCCCCACCATTGGTGTCAAGAGAAGATTGGCGTGCTGCTCAAAGGTTTCAGGTTGGTGGGTCTTCATTTGAGGGATATGGAGACTGGAGGAAGAAGTTGGGTGCAAATGGTAATAGTTCATCATTATTTTCAATGCAGCCTGGAATTTCAGTGCAACAGGCGGAGAATGATCTGATGGAGCTGAGGAAAACCAGTGGCCGAAATCTATCTGGGCAGAATTCTGCACAGTGGATTGACCGTAGTACAGATGGTTTGGCCAGAATGTCTGGTGGGAGTCTTGGCGTGAGGAGGAAGAGTTTTGCTGACATTCTTCAGGTAATTAATTTTGTGGAATCAGTTTCTTTACGATGTTCTAATGAAATGTGGCAGAAGTTAAAAGTTGATTTTGTGACCTATTTTTTCACAAACTTGGAACATTTAACATACAGCTCATTGGACATTGCTGGATGAAAATTCGAAGATCTGGATTTGGCCATAATAGCTTTTCAGTTTTCCACAATAGAGCTGCTATAGTTTTGCACAATCGTTTTTCTTTTGCTTTCTTTGCTACATATACTGTCTTAACATTTCCTTGCTGATAGTGAGCTTGTCGTACATGTCACTGGTCATTTCTAATGATTTTCTGGTGTAATTAATGTCAATATTTTTTTTCTGGCCAACGTAATTACAACAACAACAACAACAACAAGCCTTTATCCCACTAGGTGGGGTCGGCTACATGGATTGCAAGACGCCATTGTGCTCTATCATTTATTAAGCTTTTAGAAATATTATTAATTAAGAGATCACGTTCAACAACTTCCAAGAGTGTTCTCTTAGGCCTTCCTCTACCTCTCTTAATCGGACTCAAAGTTATATGTTCCACTCTTCTCACTGGTGCCTCCCTTGGTCTTCTTTGTACATGCCCAAACCATCTCAACCGATTTTCTACCATTTTTTCCTCAATAGGTGCCACCCTCACTTTTTCACGTATGTGCTCATTTCGAATTTTATCTTTACGTGTATGTCCGCACATCCATCGTAACATTCTCATCTCTGCTACTCCAACTTTATGCTCTTGCTGTCCCGTTAGAGCCCAGCATTCACTACTATATAACATTGCCGGTCTGATAGCAGTACGATAAAACTTTCCTTTAAGTTTATTAGGCACCTTACGGTCACAAATAACTCCTTTAGCTTTTCTCCAATTAAACCACCCAGCTTGAATTCTATGTGAAATATCTCCACTGATTTCGCCATCATTTTGGATAATGGCTCCCAAATATCTAAACTTTTCCACTTGAGGTATAATTTGATCTCCCAATTTTACTTCCAAATTATTTTCGAATAGTCCTTTATCAAATTTACAATATAAATATTCCGTCTTACTTCTACTCAGACGAAAACCTTTCGACTCCAATGTCCTCCTCCATAACTCAAGTTTGCAATTAACCTCTTCTCTTGTCTCTGCTATAAGAACTATATCATCCGCGAAGAGCATACATTTCGGGATTTCCTCTTGAATATGTTCCGTCAAAACATTTAAAATCAAGTTGAACAAATAAGGACTCAGAGATGATCCCTGATGTAGCCCAATCTTTATAGGAAAATCCTTTGTTTGACCACTAGGCGTTCTTATACTAGTTTTTACCCCCTCATACATATCTTGTATGGCTTTAATATAAGCAATCCGTACTCCCTTTTTTTCCAACGCTTTCCAAAGCACTTCTCTAGGTATACGGTCATAAGCTTTTTCCAAATCAATAAAAACCATGTGTAGATCTTTATCTTTACAACGATACTTTTCCATTAATCCCCTTAGTAGATAAATCGCCTCTGTAGTTGATCTACCTGGCATAAAACCAAATTGATTCTCAGAAATACTTGTCTCCAATCTCAACCTATGCTCAATTACTTTCTCCCACAATTAATGTAATTAATGTGAATAAATATGCAATTTGCGCGTGTAAATTTATATGAATAAATATGCACCATCTTTTGCCATCACAGTTTCAGTCTTATGCTTTGGTCTCCCACATTGCCCATAATCATCCTCAAATGTGGATGAAGTTAGGTACTTGTATGATTCAAACAATTAGCTGATGGAGCATGTTGAACTAGTCTCTTATCCTGCTCCTGGCATTGGCATTCCTAATGCTTTTAACTTAAGTCAACATTTTTTGCAGGAAGGCCTTGATCAGCCTGCTTCCATGTCAGGTAATATGTCACGTCCAGCAAGTTACACTGCATTTGCTGATATTATGGATTCAACTGGCACGGCTGATCATTACCCAACAGGTTTATGCAATGAAGTTAAATCCTTGGATTGCTTAAATTCTGCAGCTGCTACTTCTGGTCTGGATGGACTTCAGAACCATGGTGTAATGGTTTCTCATGGTTTTGCATCTGCTGTGGGTTCATCCCTGTCAAGGGGTCCAACCCCTGAACCTCAGGTCATTGGTAGACCTCGTGGGCCAGCACTTGCTCCTGGTGCTAGTAAAGCTGGGTTTGTTGAGAATAATGTAGGTTTGAGTGCCCAGAAAGTTCACTCTTCCAGCATGACTGAACTTGCTGAAATGATGTCTTCTTTATCTAGCATGAATTTGTCTAATACTAGACATGCAGAGCAAGATAATCTCCTGCAATCTAGGCTACAAAAGGAAATTGGTAATCATCCAGATCTTTTATTTAGAACAATTAGTAATGGTAACAACCTTGTTGAACTGCCCAGACATGATGAGATTCTAATGAACCTTAATGCAATGACTTCAAATGAGCAAGCCAATATAATGAAAAGAAGTGCTTCGTCTGCTAGTGTTCACTCAAAAGTCAATTCTATTGGAAATGTCCATCACACTCGTGCAAGTTTGCCAAGTATAGATGTTGCCGGCCTTGTTCATGGTGCATATCCTGTAAACTCAAATTTAAATGCCGTGTACAAGAATCACATTGACACAGGTCTGGTTCTCTCTTCTTTTCTAACTGCTTTCTGTGTGTATGTTTGTGAAATTATGCAGACTATTAAAGAATTGTGAAGTTTAGTCTTTTTAGTCATCACTAACAGGTTGGATATATATATATATATATATTTTAATTACAGCTTTGGGAGATCAGGGTGATGGAAAAAGTTTAGAATCATTAGGAAATCAAGTTGGTCCTGATCTTCATTCCTCATCTGTGGACCCATGCTTCATCCAACGGGCGCGGCAAGGTTCTGATTACTTGATGCATGGTCCAGGTGATCTTTCTCAAGTGAGAAATTTCTCTGGTATTACACATGGAGACTTTGAGGGACTTCAGAAAGCATATCTTGAGACACTTCTTTCTCAACAAAAGCAACAGTATGAACTCTCACTTCTTGCCAAATCTGGGTTTCTTAATTATGGGTTCTATGGGAGTCAACCATGTGGTCTTGGCATATCATACTCAGGAAAGCAGATCTCAAATTCCTTACTTCCTTCTGTTGGATCTGGAAATCCACTGTTTGAGAATGCAAGTGCATCACAATTGGATTCTATGGTGAAGAGTTCAATAGGAGGTTCTATTGGGTCATGTCATAGTGATGTTGGCAATAGCATGGACGGTAGATTTGTATCATCCTTACTAGATGAGTTCAAGAACAAGGCTAGGTCTTTTGAACTTTCTGATATAGTTGGTCACATGGTTCAATTCAGGTACAGACCTTACATTTCTGCTGGCTTCTATTATAATGATATGGCTCTGGAAGTATGAATTAAGAATGTGTACCATAATGCAGTACTGATCAGTATGGGAGTCGCTTTATTCAGCAGAAATTAGAAACAGCCTCAGCCGAAGAAAAGATGAAGATATTTCCTGAGATGATTCCTCATGCTCGTACCTTGATGACTGATGTCTTTGGGAATTATGTTATACAGAAAGTATAAGTAGCTTCTTTTGCTATGGTCATGTTTATGCTTGTTCTTAAAGAAGTTAAACTTAAATGTGATGCTTGGATTTGCAGTTTTTTGAGCATGGTGCAGAAAGCCAAAGAATTGAGTTAGTCAGTCAACTAACTGGTCATGTTTTACCTCTCAGTCTACAAATGTATGGTTGCAGAGTGATTCAGAAGGTAACTTCTATGTCTTTTATTTTATTGTTAATCCCTCTATATACATATCATGCTTGACATGAACATTTCATTTCTTTGATGTTTGCACATCATGTTCTTTCTTGACGTGGGAGACTTGAGTGATTTGTTTATAATTTCAGTGACGTCTTTAGAAAACATCATTAAGTAATTGCTTCAGTGTCACCATCATCTTTTCCTTTGATGAGTAAATAATATGTTAGTTTGAGATACATTTATGTTATACTCTCTGCTTTCTGCCGTGCTGAAATAGATAGGCTTGCTTGTTACGTGTCTTTATGCGACCAATAAATGTAGCATTGCAGTTACATAATTATATTATGTCCTCAATGTACTTGGGCGTTAGGGTCAAAAATAGAGTCGAGTAAATTTTATAGGTTTTACTGTGGATTGTGAGCATATAATAACAATATGAGTCTGTTGCAAAAATTAGCCTTTCTTATGGTGTAACAATATGAGCATATAATGGCAACGCTTTCCATTTATAGTCGCATATAATAACAAGCAGAATTCTTTTAAGTGCTCTCCAATCTCTCCTCTTTGTGTATTATTTTGCCTTGCATATGGCTTTGAGAACATAATTGCTTCCTTGTCATATAAGTATAACTAAAGTAATTTTCAAAAATCATCCACAGGCATTGGAGGTGGTTGACATTGATCGACAAACTCAAATGGTTGCAGAGCTTGATGGTGCAGTGATGAAATGTGTACGTGATCAAAATGGTAACCATGTTATTCAAAAGTGTATAGAGTGTGTACCTCAAGATCGAATTCAGTTCATCATCTCATCTTTCTATGGGCAAGTTGTGGCACTTTCTACCCATCCATATGGCTGCCGTGTTATTCAGGTTAGACATTGATGTGTGGAATTTATCTATATGGAGACAGTTACCAAAGTGTTTACTTTCTGTTGATTTGACATTTTTCACAATTCTTAACAGAGGGTTCTGGAACATTGTGATGATCCAAATACGCAACAAATTATTATGGATGAAATCATGCAATGTGTCTGCAATTTAGCACAAGATCAATATGGAAATTATGTTATTCAGGTCTGCAATTTACTTTCTATTTTCTTAAATGAAGTGCTTATCTGCTTTAAAATGTTTGGTTATATCATGGAGGACTGAATATGGGCGATCGAATAGCTGCTTTATTATCATTGTAGATATTCATAGGTTGTGAATCCTTAATTCGTCAAGTCTGTTTTCAATCCCAATGCTTCACAAGCTACGTGGGCCATTCAACGGGCTAAGATCTTTTATTTTAAGCATGCCGGATAATTTCTTCTTTAAATTTATTAGGTCAACATCATCGTCAACTATCGAGATAATGCCATCCATAGAGACATAATCAAAAAGTAATTTTCGCACAAAAAAAAAATGTGAAGCTATTTTACCTTTTGAGTGTTTGAAAAAAATATTATCTGCTTGACTAAGTGCGGTCCAATAACATATTTATATCATTTTTAACTGTTCACTTATTCTCTTGCTACTCCTTTACTGTGCCTTTATTTGGTAGCATGTCCTGCAACATGGAAAACCGCATGAACGATCTGCTATTATCACCAAGCTCGCTGGGCAAATTGTGAAGATGAGCCAGCAGAAATTTGCTTCTAATGTTGTTGAGAAGTGCCTGACTTTTGGCAGTACTGAGGAGCGTCAACTTTTGGTGAATGAAATGCTCGGTACCACTGATGAGAACGAGCCATTACAGGTTTGGCGACCTTTTTTCTAAATTTGCTTCATTGCTTGTGATTCCTGTGTTTCTAATGTTGGAGATTGATTTGATGCTCTAATTTGTACCGAACTCTTGATTTATGTTTATTTTAGAACCAACATATTAGATTAATGCATAATTTATGTTATTGTTGTTTCTCCATACTGAATATGCGCTCATGAATCTGGTATTAGTCCCACTTTGCTTAATTCCTTAAATGTCGGAAACTGTCGACCCATACCAATTTCTTTAATCTCCTGTTTCTTGCTACCCGAGTTCTGTTGCAATATTTTGTTAAAACATTGCAAAAATTGTGGAATATAGCAAAATTAATGAGGGCAAATTACTCAGGAAATTTGTCTTCCATTCCAAAAATCCCAATTTGAAGGGAATCAAAATAAGAAGAGGGGAGGGGGAAATTTTGGCTCCCCTCGCTTCCAAATTTCTCAACCAAATGAGGGACCCCCACCTCCTCAAACTAAACACAGCCTAAGGTCATGTTTGGTGTGAGTGAGCCAAGATTCAAGAATGGGAGGAGAGAGAAATCTCTATCATAATTTGTTTGATACACAATAATTAAAATCCTAAAGAATTGGTACTTCCCTTAATGAGGGAAGCATGGAACCTTCTCTTCCTCTCCCCCTCTCCTACCAAACGTAAGAGAGGAACTTGTTTTGGAATTCCTTTCCTGCTAAAAGTTCCAGTATCAAATTACACTGATAGTTTTTTAAATCCATCAAATTAGAGTTGCTTACTGAATATATTGATAATGTAGCATTTAAATTGCAGGCTATGATGAAGGATCCTTTTGGAAACTATGTTGTGCAAAAGGTTCTAGAGACATGCGATGATCAAAGTCTAGCCCTGATTCTTTCTCGGATCAAGGTTCACCTAAATGCCCTGAAGCGGTACACTTACGGTAAACATATCGTTTCTCGTGTTGAGAAGCTCATAACTACTGGAGGTAAGCCATGTAGAGATTTCTAACTAACAGAAGTTTATATTTCTTGTTTGTGATTGTTTACAAAGCATATTCTTGATTATTCATAAGCCCCTTTTTTGCAGAAAGGCGCATCGGTTTGTTGGCGTAGTCGACTTCTTCTGGCATCCTTGTTGAGGAGGACATGTCACCTAATAAAGAACATCCTTTTGTACAGTTAACACGGATGTTGATTAGTAAGTTCCTACAACGAGCCTTAACTGTGGAGATTTTTAAAGCCTTGTAGATAAACACACTCAGCTGGGCCGTTGAAATAAGCTATTTTTCTTCAAAACTCTGAAGGGGAGAGTCCACTCTGTAAGTTCAAGATCATTACGGTCATGCCAATTACTAGTCTTTTTGGGAGTATATATGATGAGGTCCTTAGTCTGTAAAGCAAAAAAAGTGTAAATGGTTAATTGCAGTACAAGTGGTCAGATGAGGCTTTCAAGTTTCATATTGTAATGTATGTAAATATACTGCAATCTTGAGGCTGTCTCCTGTCAATAATTATCACGTATTTTATGACTCATATACCTTTGAGTATTTTATTGTAGGTCTTTCCTTTGTTGTGAGTTAAGATGCTAGTTTTCAAGTGAAGCAATGCCTACATCTTATATTGTCATTATTGATCCATATTAAGAGATGAAGAGTAAAAAGCAGGCTTAATATAATTTTAGTCCTTTGTGATTGTTTTCCTCGCCAGAAGAGGTACTGCTTGAGTTGAGATTCTTTAGCTTACTATTCTTTTGAATTTCATGATCTGATTGATGTACAATACACATAATGAGATGAAATAGAAAAAAAGGATAGAATTAGAAGGTGATTTTATGAATGAAAATATTTTTTGTGACTCCAAATAAAAATTAATAAAAAATGAACAATTTTGATCAGATAATAACAAAAGCATAAAAAATTAGGGTAAAGGGATAAAAATACTCACAAAGTGATCAATTATGGAAACCCAGTATTCTAAAGTAAGAAAAAGGGCAAAAATATCTATAATGTTATATGGATGAATGTAAAAGTAATTAAACTGTTAATTTTGATTTAACACTGTTAACTTCGAACGTTAAATGTTGATTGTGTGTGTTACATGTCAGTCTTTGTTGATGTGGATTAATAAAAAGGTAAAAATACTCATGAAGTGGTAGGCTAGGAGTAAAAGCACTCATAATATTATTGGAGTTGGTGCAAAAATGATCAATCTATCCAATTCTTTAAATGTTGATCATTTAATTGACACTTAAGTAGAAGTTGATTATTTTTCATTAATGCAGACAAAAAATATTTTTAGATAAATTTTTATGGATGTTGATTGATTATCATATGAGTATCGATAATGTTACTTTAGTAGATGTAATAGTAACTAATTCATTAAACTCAATGCCATATGGTTTCTTTCTATTGTCATGTATCCGCCCCCTTCCTTTTTTCCTCTCTACTAATTTTTTGTGTCTGCAAAACTTGAAAATTAACATAATGAGATAAGTTGTACAAAAGCAAAGATTGAGATTGAGCACATCTAGCTTAAAAACCTTGTCACAACTTTATACAATTACATTCATGATATGTTTAAAATTTTCAAATGATTTTTACTACTATTGTAAAGAAACAAATGATTTAATTTGATATTTAGTTAAAATGACATTTTTTCACATGATATTTATACAATGACTAATTAATTTCTAGAGAATTTCATGGAAAAATATTTTTGCCTACGTTAGTGAAAAAAATGGTCAACCTTTTCTTAGGTGTCAGTTAAATGGTTAACATTTAAGGGGTTGGATGAATTAGTCATTTTTACACCAACTTTGATAACGTTATTGATATTTTGCTCCTAATCTATGACTTCATGAGTATTTTTGCTCTTAGCCGATGACTTTGTGGGTATTTTTCTCATTTATTAGTACATATCAGCAAAGATTGACACGTGACATATACAGTCAGCATTTAATAGTCAAAGTTAACAGCGTTAGTTCAAAGTTAATGGTCTAATTACTTTTGCATCCATCCATGTAACATTATGAGTATTTTTATCTTTTTTCTCACTTAGAATATTGGATGTCCATGGTTGATCACTTTGTAAGTATTTTTATTATTTTATTCAAAAAATTATGTCGTGTTTACTAGCTATTTGGCGTTAAAGTTTAACTTTTAGAACATGACGTGAATATATTTTTTAAAAGTTTAATACAACTTATACTGATACTTTGCTTATAGCACTCTTATTCATAAGTAATGTTTTTTTGGGATAATGTAATTTTTAATTTCTTAAATTTGCTTCAATTATCAATTTAGTCTCTTAAATTTAATTTTATCAACTTGGTCCCTTATGCTTTCTAAAATTATTATGTGAGTCCTTTAAATTTTAAAACATAAATTGATTCTTAAAATATTCTAATTTAAAAGTATATTAATGACTTAACATATATATATATATATATATAGTTGAATAAGAATAAATTAACTCTTAAATTAGTTTATTTTTTTATCATTACAATCATTCACTGTATTTTATTCTCTTATTTTTATTTCAAAGTCTATTTTTTTTTCTTATCTAAATAATTATACTCTTTTTGTTAATTTGTATGATTGCTATCAATATTTTGTTATTCATAACAGAAATTTTTAATAGTTTAACTTTCTTTTTAAACAATAATGACCAATTCAATAACTAAAGTATATTTAAGAGACTTAATTAATAATTGAGGTAAATTTAAGGGATTAAAAATTGCATTATCACTTGTTTTTTGACTGAAATTATTTATAAGAATTGTGAAAATGCTTCAATCGTTCAATTAAGAGTACATTTGACAATGTTGCCCAATATTTAAATTTATTAATTATAATTTCTTAATCTATGTTCTAAAACTTTAAAAATCATATACTCTCCCTCTCTTAAAAAATATAAGACATTTTTTTAAGATATAAGATGTTAAAAATATATGATATTTTGATTATTTTAAAATGCAATGAATAAATCTTTTCCAAAATATCCTTAATTAAGGGTGTAATTAATAAGGTTTTTTAATTAAAACATCATTTTAAATAGAGAAAAATATATAAAGAGTGTATAATTTTAAAGACAATTAAATAATTCATTGGAGGTGTAATTTAATTAAAAATATTTTATAATATTTAATTGAGGAGTAGCATACTGAAAGGGAGAGTATGTGCTTACAATTTAATTAATGGGAAAATAAAAAACATGTATACTTTGCAACTCCTTTCCTTAGATATGGTTTTGGGTAAAACAAAAAAAAAAAAACAAAAAATGCTGTCTTATCCAGTGCAATACGAAAATGATTAGAGTTAATTAATAACTATAAGAAAGGATTGATTTAGTGAAAGAAACTAATTTTTCATTATGTTGTGAATTAATATCGAATTCTTATCAAAATAGGTACTTACATTTTGTATTCAACCATATCTCCAACATGATTATCTTTCATAAGAGGATGCCGATAGATATACAAAAAGAGTTAATTAGCAACTGCGTATTAATGAATCATAATTATAATGTTAATTGTTAAAATTAAAACATGATGTGGATATCAATATATTGCAAATTGAGTCAGTTAATAAAAAAATTTCAAGGTGTCCGTTAACTTTCTATAACTAAATCTTAGCTTGAATCTTATGTTGCTAATACTTCTCCATTTTTATTTTAAGACGCCTTTGGAGAAACTTGTTATATTTAATAGAAAAAATTATGTTAAAATTCTATATAAAAAAATTAATTACTTAAAAATTCATTAAGAATTGAAGTAGGCCAATTTACAATAGAGTGTGTTGTAAATGGTCTTACTTTAATTGTTAATGAATCTCACGGTAATTAATTTTTGTGTGTAAAACTTGTATATTATTCTCCTTATTTATACAAGATATTTGATAAAATATTAATCATATACTCACTTCATTTAAAAATGTAAGATATTTCTAACCGAATTTTACTTCTAATACCTATTTTTCAACTAACCCTATTTTTTTATATTTATTCCTATTAAACACTCTCCAATAAAAATAAAGTTATTATCAATATCGACACTTTTTTTTAAAAAAGAAATGATTACACTTTAAAAGACTAAAAATACCTTATATTTTTTTAACATAAATAGTATTTTTTTAATATTTTTTATATTAAAAATTATTAACTATAAAGAAAAAATAATGTAAATTTTAAAAAATTATTTAAATAGAAATAAAATTTAAAGTTTATTTCATTTTTGAACATATTTAATAATAACTTAATTTTCATAAAATTGGTAGATGTGTCTCATAATAGGGATATCAATAAATACTTTTATTTAATAATTTTTCCAATCTTTGGAAGTACTCCCTCCCATTTCATTTATGAGACAATTTTTAAAAAATTTATTTAATTTTATTTATAAATTATAATAAGATTTTTTAAATAATATTTAAAAGAATTTATGAAAAATAAAAATAATATATCATTATTTTTTAAATTTATTATATAAAAATATTTAAAGTTTTACATATTTTTATTTTTTATATTTTTTATATTAATATGGATAAAATTGATAAAAATAATTATAATAAAGTAGGTTCTTGTTTTATTATAAACTTTTTTTGTTTTTTTCAAACACTCGAGCTCTCGAGGCTCAATCCCGCGTCTGCTCAGAAAGGGCCTGGTCTGAGTCTGCGTCCCCGAGGCCGCCAATATTAACTAATTCGTCTATGAAATCGTTGACACTTGACAATCAAGTTGAACAGGTCTCCTGGTTCTGGCCGCCGGTTGTAAAAATCTTAAAAAGGGTAATGACGGCGTCATTCTTTCGTAGGTCCTACTCTGACACTTGTCTCAACTATACAAATTCTTACTCGTTTCTACTTGTCTCCAAGCTACAATCTCGGGATTCCCAATCTTGCTTTCAAAGTTTCAATCCTTCAGAAACCCCATTCCGGATTCCCTAACATTACTTCTTCTACCCTCTCATGAACTGATCCCGAGAGTCCAATTCCCTCCTGCTTTGAGATGGGCAAGACGAGTCTTAAGGCTTCTTCTTCTTCTAGGTTAGGCTGCAGAATTCTATGGTCATGGTTAGCCATTGTGGTTTTGAGCTCCTTGAGTTTGGTCCGGTGCCAGGTTAACAGTGGCACCAATCCATTCGGTGATTCTTCTGGTGCTCTTCCCTTTATGACACAGCTTGTGAATGCCCAGCTCTCCAATCTTACCAGAGATCTCAGCCAGGAAATCAAAAGCCAGTTCAGCTTCTGCGTCAAGGACCCGTTAGTACTTCATTAGTTTATCTCTGTATTTCTACGTCTTTTTTGTCATAATAGTTTTTTTTTTTTTAAAAGAATGAGCTGACATTTTGGTCCTCCGAGTGTAAACTTTATTTTAATTTGGTTCCATAAGATTAAACATCTTTGTTTAATCTTCTTAATAGTATTTTGTTTTCTACATAATTCTCGAGTAATGGTTCATGGGGCATAACATTAAGTGGCCATTATGCATCAAATTGTTACCTTTATCATGTGGTGTCAAGACTACTTCAAGTGGTATGTTGCTTTGCCCTGCATGTTTTAGGGACAGAAAGACACTTGATGTTT